CTTTCTGGAAGCACTTTTTTAAGTAGAATTCAGTGACGTTCTCAGTTTTTTTCTATTTGGCGCCGATTTTGAGATATTGACCAAAGTCTGATTTTTTCAATGGGACACCCCCTATATTAATAGCTCATTGAAAAGCTATGATTTTTCTGATTTTAATGATATCAAGTTCGATGGGTTGATCTCTGACCGTTTACCAGAAAAAAAATTATTTCGGTTTTTCTCATAAGAAGCAATGTGATAAAAGGACTTTATATCTGTAAGGAAAATGAAAAAGGTCTCTTTCTAAGACATTGTTTCTTATGACAAAACCAAAATAATTTTTTTTTCTCGATAACGGTTAGAGATAAACCTATCGAACCTCATATCATTAAAATTAGAAAAATCATAGCTTTCCAATAAGCTATTAATATACATATAGGGTATCCCATTGAAAAAAACCGGACTTTGGTCAATATTTCGAAGTTGAGGCAACTAGAAAAAAATTGTGAATATCACTGAATTCTGCTGCAAAAAGTTCTTCTAGAAAGTTTTTAGGGAAATCAATTATTTTCATAAACAAAATTTATTACCAAAAAGCAACAAACCAAGGGAATAATTTTGCCTACATAATTTTTTCTTGAGTGGTATTCGGCTGGACTAATTCACGAGAAAAACAAGTCAAATTTTTTTACTCTAACCACACAAAATTTTGTTGCTGAAAAACCATCATGTTGGTTTGGTCCAGGTAGGAGTTTTGTCAGTAGGAAACCGGCCATTCCTATGACATTTTACCAGTTATTAAAATTAAAATAGTCAGTGTAAAATACTCTAAAAGTTTTTTTTTTTTAAAGATAATTCCCCAAGTCAGAAATTTAGTAACTATGTTGGCAACACAAGCCTTTTCTACATAAAAATTTTGAATGCATTGACAATTTTACATTGTATTGCCAACATAATGTCATTTTGACTTTTATCTTTAAAAAAAAAAGACTTTACAGTTTATTTTTTCCCAAGATAGATTTTGACATTGTTAACTTTGAAACATAAACAATGCCGCTAATGCCGCTTATTGGTCGCAAAATGCCATTTGCACGACATGTATTGTAAAACTGATGTCAACCTCCAGGGACACCTCATTTTGCGACCAATCAAGGCCAAACATTACAGTGGCTAAATAAACCTTTACATACAGTGGCGACAATAGAGGTCCCGCCGCCATCTTGTTCCCAACCTCTTGTTACTTTTAAATATTAATATATAGGATTTAAATGGACATCTATCATAAAAAATTGGAATCGACGTATTTGATGACCATTATTAGGTCCATCAAATACGTTGTTTTCCATGATTTTGATGGATGTTCACCTAAATCTCATATATTCATATTTAAAAGTAACAAGGGGTTGGGAACAAGATGGCGGCGTTTTCAATATAAATATATGGGATTTTTGAACCAATCAAAAATAAGACAGCAATTGTCGCCACTGTGGGTTATAGAGTCACTGTACCAAACATAAACTCACAGCATATCCTCACGGATAGAAGGCAAACTGCCTAATAAAATTTTGGGGAACAATGCGCCATCACCGGCGTCGTGGATGCGATCCGAACTATTTTAAATATAGGTTTCTGTAATCAAATCAACTTTTAATTTTTTTTTTTATTTTTAATTTTATAGGTGCGCCCCCCCCTGAGACCTCAAAAACTACTAAATTTTTTTTTTAAAATTATAGATAGAAAAATTTTATAAAAGAATTTTCCAATGAAAGTTTATGGAAAAATTTTCTAATAAAATGTTATTGGAAAATTTTCCAAGCTACACTATTGTTCAATTTGTGTTGTTTTTATCAGATAAATGTGTTATATTTTTAATTGGAATAGGTATTTTCATTTGTTATTTTCGGTGTTTTGATATGTACAGGGTTGTCCAATTTTTGAGCGAGATACAAAAAAATCAACCCCCCACTCTGAGGCTCAAATTTTATATCTTCAACCGTTTTGTGGCTAGAGAATCCAGTGACTTTCTCAGTTTTTTTCTATTTTTTCCCGAATTCAAGATAATAACCAGAGTCCGATTGTTTGGATGGGACACCGGACACCCTATACAGGGTGTTCCTAAATATCATGTACAAACGAAAAGAAGTGATTCTTTGGTTTATTTTATTTTGAAATTTCTAATAAACATAGGTCCGCAAACGCTTCGTTACCGATCTACAGGGTGTTGAAATTTTAATATTTTTTTTAGTTTTTTCTTTATAGCTCCTGCAATTTTTGAGTGATTTAGTTCAAATTTGGAATCTAGGTTACGCAATAAGAGCTGAATGATTGTACATGTCAAACGTTTGCTCTGTAATTAGCTAGATGAAACTAAAGTTACTGAATAAACCTACAGTGGCGACAACAGAGGTCCCGCAGCCATATTCTTGCTAATTTTCAATAGCAATCTACAGGTAAGACACTTCTCGCCGCCATATTCCTGCTAATCCTGCTCATTTTCAATATGAATACATTAAAATTTCAACACCCCGTAGACAGGTAACGAAGCGTTTGCGGACCTATGTTTATCAGAAATTTTAGTCATAAAATAAACCAAAGAATCACGCCCTCCAGTTTGTACATGATATTTAGGAACACCCTGTATATCAATAACTGATTGGATAGCTCTGCTTTTGCTGCTTTCAATGATACAAAGTTCGATCGGTTTTCCAGCAAAAAAATTGTATCTCTTTTTGTTATAAGAAACAATGTGTTTGAAAAGGACTTTATATAAGGAAAATGAGATAGGTCTCCTTCTAACAAATTGTTTCTTTTGATTGAAACATCTATAATTTTTGTCTCTAGAAAACTGTAAGCAATAATAGAGCTATCAATTAGTTATTAATGTATAAATAGGGTATTTTATTTAAAAAAAAAATAAGACGAATTAAAATAATTGAGAACGACATTGAATTCTGCATGGAAAAGTACCTCTATAAAGTTTATACAGAAATCAATTATTTTCATATATACTACTCAAAACGAAATAAGGACCACTTTTAAGAGCAGGTTTCTATTGAATTTAGAACAACCCTGGTATAGTGACTATTTCCATTTACAATAAATATAGATAAACAAATAAAGTGTGCACAAAAAATTTATATTGTCAATGGAAATAAACACTTTACCAGGGTTATTCAAAATTCATTAAAAATAAATGGGTTTTCAAAGGTGGTCCTTATTTCGTTTTGACTAGTTTATAATAAAAATAAAAATAATAAAAATATTGTTCAAATTCGAGAAACATCCTCTAGCGGCAAAACGGTTGAGGGTATCAAAAGGCGGTTTGCAGTGTTTGCACCAATCAAAATTCCATGAAATTTGAGCGTTAGCAGAGTGGGGGGTTCATTTTTTTGTATCTGGCTCAGAAATTGACGTTTCATATCAAAAGTGTCCAAATTGGACCACCCTGTACCTACATTCTTTAACGTATAAGTAAAGTGAAAATAAATTTTCAAGAAATCATTGTTGATAATTCTAAGCTTGCGCCCCCCCCTGAAGAAAATCCTGGATCCGCCACTGACAGATAAACTGACTGTGACATAATTTTATGGTGGCGTTTATTCCGCACCTGTAGTTGTGTGTCACTCCAGCGTCCCCAAGCGGATGCGATCCGAAGCTCTTTTTTTAGGCCCCGCCCTCCATTAAGCTTTTTTTTCTATCCGTGAGGATATGTGTTCTGTGCATAAACTTTTCAAAGTTTTCAATGTCAAAATCTATCTTGGGATAAAATCTCGGATAAAATAGACTGTAGTGAAATGGTCAAGAAAAAATTAAAAGAATATTTGTGATTTGATTTCAATAAAAGAATTACTTACGGTTTTTATTTTTGTACCTAGAGTGTTTTTACATGATATACCTAGGTACTTATAATATTCACTGGAAGAAGTCCCAAATAAAATACTTTAAATTAGGAGAAATCCCGCGCAATCCCGAGAAAATCTGAGCAATCACCAAGAAATCCTGCGCAATCACGCGAAATCCTGCGCAATCACGCGAAATCCTATGCAAATTCGAGAAATCCCGCGAAATCTTGTACAATTCTGCGAAATCCCTTGGAATCATTACGAAATTTTGCGAAATCCCTAATTTTGCGCAATACTGTCACATTTTCACCCTAGTGGTTTACCCCTCGGTTTTAAGTTAGGTTAGGTTAAGTTAAGTTAAATTTTTTGTTAGAACCCATTAAGGGCCGGCTTCTCAATAGCGAGTCACCTCCAGTGTTTTAACTCCAGGGTAAGCGTGTCGAGTTGCTATGTTTACCCTGGAGTTATGCTTAACCCGAGGGTGACTCGCTATTGAGAAACCGGCCCTAAGGTGGGTTCTAACAAAAAAATTTAACCCGTAATAACCTATAAATCTCTCATATATCTTTTTTTTTTTCTGTAGATCCTCTTTTTGATTCTTATAATACTGTTTCAAAGAATCCAAACTGCCCGGTGAAGCAGCATTGAAATTCCTGCATACATTCTCCCAGGCCTCGTTTTTTTCATGAATGGATAGAGCATCAGTTTTTTTTTTTTTCAATAAATTTTCAAGTCTTGCCACTATATTAATTAAGGCCTCCTTTTATGCTAATGTAAAATTCAGGCCCTTCTGCTTTTTAGAATCTGGTTCTTCCATTGCTCAAACTCTCAATCAGAAACACCCAAACACCGAAAAACCACAAAATAAAGACTATTTGTCAACTTTTGTCACACTTCTGTCTGTTTACTGAGGATTTCGCAACGTTGCCATCTCCAAAAATTATTAAGTCCGACTTTGCCAAGTCGGCATAATTTGTCTATGGTGCAAGTAAATTAAATTAAAGGCTAACCTAAAATTAAGACCTGACTTAGCTAAGACCGATTTAAGTTGCGGTTGGTGCAAGTGGGCATGTGCCTTAAATTCGTATTAAAGTACGTAGTACATTGCGCCTTTTTAGTACTGCCGGCAGAACGCTGTGCAATCTATCAACTGTTCAATTACAATAAAGTCTTGAAAACCACACAACATGAATTAAATTAGGTGATTCTATTTATTTATTATTTCAACTAAACAATAACAACAACGATAAATAATAACAATGATTAATTATAATAATTAACAATAAATAAACTAACAAATCTGAAACAAAACTACATTCTAAAATCTAAATCAGTAATACATAAATTCTATTATTGTAACAATAGGATAAGTGAATAAATTGAACATATTATAATCCGAACAAAAACTACGACTAGTTAGTAGGATAGTAGGTACCTATTTCTTAGAAGCCTCTTCGTTATTTGGCAGACAAGTATTCTGCTTCCGTATTTCTCTTCCAAATCCAACAACTTTCCATTCGGGTCCAAGAACCTTCCATCTGCTGGCCTCGTCTTCCAACGGTTCCGGTTCCTGTTTGTTTCCCAAAATCGGTCTGGGAGCTCGACCTTTCGCATCAAAAATTGTCTGGGAACCGTCCGGTGGCACGTATCTCCTGGAGAACCTGGAACATTGTGGTTTTTGGCCAGGGGGGCTCAAAGACAGCATTAGCGTGGTTTCCGGATCAAAAATTGGCGTGTGCCTGATCGGGGGTGGCGTCTTCGGCGTCTCCTGTCCCACAAGATTTTCGGAAAAATAGGAAAAAGGTGGTTGGTGGACAGGGGGGCTCGAAGATGACTTCAACGTGGTTTTACGTAGCATTGAAGCTAGTGCGTCTGGATCTTGTTCAGCACTCATTTGTGGTTATTAATTATTATTAAATTTGGTCGAATAATTATTATCATTCGAAGCAAATGCAAATTGCAAATACTCCGAAATAAAATAAAAATACTGTTTTTTTTGTTCCAATTTTTGACGATAGAGTTTACTGTAGAGTTTAGTAAGGTTAGGTTGTCAAATGTCATTTAGACTAAACTTTGATTTGCATCCGAAAGATGGCGCATAGGAGGTGCTTTCGGAGCAATCCCAAGCTACTCCGAACAACTCCAATTAGGCAATCCAAACCACGTGACACTCAAAATGGTGTGGTAGCCACACATGTGCCAAAAAACAAAAAAATATTTAATTTCTGCCCGATATAATAGTTTAGGTACCTAGTCAACAAATATTTTATTAAATAATCAAAATTAAAGTTGCACACAAAACTCTGCAAAATAATTAGGCAATTCAATCCATCTGTCAAAAAGGAAAATTCAATATGGCATGGCGGCCAAGCAAGTTTGTTTTGAATATGTTTTTATGCGTATTTTAAATTATTTTGCTTAGAGTTTTGCTTGCAACTTTGATCCTAACTATTTGATAAAATATTTGTTGACTATGTACCTTAACTATTAAATCGGGCAGAAACTAGATATTTTTTTGTATTTTTTGGCTCATGTGTGGCCGCCACGCCATCTTGAACGTCACGTGGTTTGAATTGCCTAATTTAAAATACGCATAAAAACATATTCATTGTTCAAAACAGACTTGCTTGGCTGTCACGCTATATTGAATTTTCCTTTTTGACAGATGAATTGGATTGCCTAATTCACGAAAATCACCGCTAGATGGTGTTGTATTTTGCCGAAATGTAAGGTTACTGGATGGAGATGGCTCCATTTGTGCTACTGTGCATTTGTGCTAATCCGCAAATGGTCTACTCACGAACGCGATCGGCTATGATCGGGATCAGTTAACATGATCGCGGAGGAGTAGCAAGAGTAGTTGAAGCTTATGAAGGTTTTGTGTACGCGGCGGGCGCGCGGAACATCTGGTGTAATCAGCTGATAATAATAAAAATAAATTAAAAAATGTATTTGTATTTAGTGAATGATTGTGGACTTTATTTTTATTAACTACAGTAGAGTTAAGATTTTAGAAATATATAATATACTTATTTATTAAAGCGTAGAGTCCTTGTAGAGTTTATACAGACGTGTAAAATTATTTATAAATGTAAAGTCAATAATACATATACCTATCAAAGTATCTCCCCAGATTTAAAATCATATGGGGTTGTATTATTTATTGATTTCCCAGAATATTAGGTCAATAAACCTAGCAGTCCCATATGGAAAAAAACGAAGGGATTGCTAGGTTAATATGAAATATAGCAGTCCCCTGTAGTGAAAAATATTTTTTTAAATTTTTCTTTGGTATCAGAATTTAGATAATATGCTTTTTAAAGTTCTCCTAAATACCTGGTCAAAGAAAAATTTGAATCAGTTAATTATTAACTGAATTACAGATTTTTTTTCAATATTAGGAAATTCCTGGATTCACGTTTACTTATTGGGGGTGTGTTAGAGGCTTACAGCCAATTTCATAATCAACTTAAAGTAAACTTTAAATATAAAGGTCCATTTGAAGTAGAAAAATCCCATCCTAAAAGTCTATTTAGCTAAAGTAACTTTTAATTCTCTATCATGAAATTGGCCGTTAAACCGTTAAAGGCTGAAATGTTTTTGGATTGAATTTAGGTACCTACTATTTAAGTGCTCCTAAATTGTCAAAGAAACACTTGAATCTGTTAATTATTAACTGAATTACAGTTTTTTTTCATTATTGGCAAATTATTGGCTTCACGTTCAGTTGGTGGTGTGTCAGAGCTAAAATGTTTATGGATAGGAATTAGTGCTATTTAAGTGCTTCTCAATATTTGAAGAAAAACTTGAATCAGTTAATTATTAAACTGAAGTACAAATTTTTTTTCATTAAGGAATTGCTGGCTTTACATTTACTTGGGGATGTATTTGCATTGCAGCGAATCTGAAAACTGCGACTAAAATGTTGTATTGGAATTTGGTGCTATTTAAGTGCTCCCAAAAAGTTGAAGTTTTAGATAGTTCAAGTTTTTCTTCGACTATTCAGGAGCACTAAGATAGCACCTAATTCCAATTATTACAACATTATAGCCACTGTTATCAGTGTTATCAATTTCGCTGCAAATATTTACACCCCCAAGTAAACGTAAGGCCAGTAGTTCAGTTCCCTATAATAATACAAAAAAAATCTATAATTCAAATAATATAACTAATTCATGTTTTTCTTTGACTATTTAGGAGCACTTGAGCACCTAAGTCCTATCCAGAAAAAATTTAGCTTTTAACCACCAACTAGTTAAACGTGAAGCCAACAATTTCCATTTCCTAATAATGAGAAAAAATCTCTATTTAGTTTAATGATTAACTGATCAAATTTTTTTTGACTATTTGGAAACACTTGCATAGCAAGAATCATAAACTATAGGATTGCTTTTCCTTATAAGGCGTACGTTCGCCAATTCTCGAGTCGGCAAGGCCTGCGAGTGACGTTAGTACTATTAGCAGCATAGCCTCTTATAGTGGTGACGTCACCCGCAAGTCTCGATGGGATGCTTGCGATTCAGGTTGTGCTTGTTTCTTCATCGATTTTAAATGTAGAAAAGGTGATTCCTGGTAATGAAAAAAATCTGAATGACTGTTCTTCTTCGACTATTTAGGAGCACTTGGATAGCTTATTTGCTAATTCCTATCCAGAAACTAGCTTCTGCACACAGTGGCTTTACACTCGGTAAACTCCGAGCAGTCCGAGCGCGCTCGAAACATTAAGATAGCGAAAATAGAATTCAACTTCTGGAATCTCTTTCTCAGTGAAAATGTTCTATCTTTGATTGTTGAGTACCCGAATCAATACATAGAAATTGTAAAACCGAAATTCATCAGATGGTTCAATTTTTTTATCAATGATTTAGTATATGTATCTCTGTGATACAGCGTGACTAATGATGTTATAAAACTCGCGATGGAAGGTTAAAATAAATTAATATTTAACCAATAATCCATTTTTAAAGTAAACAAAACACCACACCCACTCAATACTTGAAAAATATCGAAATAGAATTCTATTTTCTATTTTAAATACCCGCCAGATGGAGAGGGAACGGCAACGCTGTACCCATTTGCGCTACAACAACTGCATTCGTTTCGATGAGGGTCATACTCCGGTCGGACTTCGGCTCGTCCGACGTTCCCGCCCGAAGGCGACTTCGGGTGGGTAGAGCAAATGAACATTAGCACAAATGGGGTGATCCCGAGCAAATGAACATTAGCACAAATGGGGTGATCCCACTGGATGGCCGTTTCCACCCAAGGAAAATACACACTCCTTAGCTTACTTTTCATGCATCCGTTTTTCCGTCAATCCGTTAATCCGGAAGTATTCCTATTGGTCTAATATTTCGGCGCCAAGATATTGGACCAATAGGAATACTCCCGGATCAACGGACTGACGGAAAAACAGATGCATGAAAAGTAAAGCTAAGAAGTGCTTATCGGCCTCGTTTTTGGTAATCGCCTCCATATTGGTTTTCAACTGTTTTCAACCCAATGAACTATAACCAAAAACTGGAATGCGAACACATAAGGACGAACCTGAGGCCTAGTGCGGCTGCTGCGGAGGGGATACCTGTTTTTGTCGCACTCATTATGTTAAATGGCGAAAATTGCTTCCAACACGTATTCCAATCGATGAAACCTGTGAAGGGAAATATGACAAAACTTTCGAAAACGTCATATGTCAGCGAGCAACAGAAAAGAACAACATTCCCCGTTGTGGCATCTGTCTTTCATGGCTTCATTTTTTTGGCAGATATGGCAATGTGTGCACATTCCAGTTTTTAGCTATAGTTCATTGTTTCAACCATTGCCGACGTCATAATTAAGTCGTCAGCTGTGCTGTTCAAAGAGTCTACGTCAAGGTGAGAAACGTCATGCTGCTTACATCACAACTGGTTATTTGGCGGAGAGGGGTAGAACGTTAAACACCATAAAGGTAAATGTGTAGACAAATGCTCACGTAAACAATTCGAATTGTCAACGCGTAGACAATCAATTGTTTACGTTGACATTGTCTACAGGCACATCCAATGAACTATAGCCAAAAACTGGAATGCGCACACATTGCTATATCTGCCAAAAAAATGTAGCCATGAAAGACAGATGCCACAAAGGAAAATGTTGTTTTTTTCTGTTGCTCGCTGACATATGACGTTTTGGACAGTTTTGTCATATTTACCTTCACAGGTTTCATCAAATGGAATACGTGTTGGAAGCAATTTCCGCCATTTAACCTAATGAGTGCGACAAAAACAGGTATCCCCTCCGCAGCAGCGGCACTAGGCTTCACGTTCGTCAATATTTGTTCGCATTCCAGTTTTTGGTTATAGTTCATTGGGCACATCACTGGCACTTGGCACTCGGTGAGCGTTCGGCGTTCGACTGTGAACGCACTCCTAGGCTTTATCAAATCTGACACTTTTCTGACATCGTTGACATGTAACAACCCGTATTCTAACCTCACAAAAATTTCAAAATGCCGGCTGGTTGGCAAAAGTCACGTGGTTTGGATTCCCTAAATAATTTCTGATATTTTTGAATGATCTATTTTTTATTTTTCAAAAATGTAAGTGCTCATGATATCAGGTCTTCAAAAAAAAAAACAATCAAAGATTGCTATGGTTTTTTAAACGTATGTCTTAGCAATATTTTTCTTTAATTTTGACAATGTCAGTCAAGAAATTTAATGTCAATATGTCATGTCAAAAATCCTGACCAATAAAGAAACAATAATGCGACGTACGTTTTCGTAACCAAAGCAATCTTTGATTGGTTTTTTTTTGAAGACCCGATACCATAATGGAAGATCCGAATAGGAAAGGATCTGCACCCATCTGTTTATTGGGTGAAAATTATTTTATATCAAAGTTAGTATGTTAAAAAATATATCAGGTGTGGGTTGGCTAAAAAATTCCTGGCCAGACTATTATTAATAAATAATTCGAAAATTATGATTGTCAAAGGCATTGCACTCATATGTTTAACGAACA